ACGGTCGCAGATTACATACGGCCCAAGCCAACAATAAAAAAGAAGAAGAAGAAGAAGAAAGAAAGGAATAATGACAATCGACGATGAATAAAAAAGAAAATAGAAAACAGACTAAGACAACATTCTATCACTCGACGTCATCACCTCCACCATTATCTCCAAGAAGCTCTCCCTCATTATCCGCGCCCTCTTCGGCCTCCGAAGTCATAGAGTCATAACCACAGTTGACACGGTCCTCCCGCGCCTTTGCTCGTGCTTCTTCATATGCGGCCTCCGTAATGTTGCCCGCCCCCACAGACTCTTGTATATATCTCACTGAGCTTCAGCATGAACCCAAAGCTCGTGTAGGCGACGGGGAGTAGTGGCAGAGGAAGACTCAATCTGAGCCAACCGTCGCTCCTTTTCAGCCTCAAGAGCGGCAACCCGATCTCCTAAGGTCGAAGCTTCCCGATCGATCTCACCAATGCGCTCCTCAAGCCTCGCCTCCATCAGCGTTGCCGTCGCTTTCTCCGACTCTTACTCAGATTGAATGATGTGGATAGTGTTCTCCAGTGCCGCCGCCCTTGCTGAAGCTGCAGACCAGGCACTCTCGATACTCTCCAGCCTTACGACCTTTCTCTCCAACTCGGCCATCTTTCCCATCAACTCTGCACTCATCGCCTCGACCTTGATAAGGTTCTGGTCCATTTCATCCTGCATTAACCTCAGCCTCCCCTGCAGATAGTCACACTCTGCAGCCACCCCCTTTCCCGCCTTGAGCTCTTCATCCTTCGCGCGAAGCTACTCTTCGAGCACACAGTTCTTACGAATGGCCTCCATCAATTGTTGATCTCTCTTCTCCAATTCCTCACCGAGGGATCGAGCACCAGGATTCTCCCTCAATCGCCCGTGCATCTCACGGCACTTGTTGCGATTGCGCCGATACTTTCCCAACATCTTTAAGAAAAGCTTGGCCCGAATGTCGGCCCTACACATACTCTCCACTTCCACCATGTACGTCTGAAAAACGAGAAGGTGGGTTAAAATTATGCCAATAAGAAAAATGGGATTTTTAAAATGACATACCCGCTAACAACATTAGAGAACCTACTGATGACAGTTAAGCAACCATTAATGGAGAAAGTAGATCCATTAACCACTCCACCAACTTCAGTTCAAAGCATAGATCCATCTACTAGAGGTACTGCATGTTCAATTGGCTCAACTTCGCACCAGTCTAATGTCTCTAAGAAGCTGGATCTGGCATCTCCAGCACCAATTGGAGCAGTACCAGATCCGATGAAAGTTTCAACTAATGAAATAGTAATCATGCAACATCCAGAGTAGATTCAAGTCAACTCAGTAGAAGAACTAGTGGAACCAGTGGTAACAAACAAAAAAGCAGAAGAATCTAAACATTCATGGGCAATGTTTTTTCAGAAGAACAGATTTGCTACAAATGGTATGTCACTATCTTATATTCCACCGCTAATTGTAGATGGACGCTATAGTTCAATTAGACAAATTAGAGGTAGAAGAGGAAGAGAGCAAGTGGAAATGTGCGTTGATTGCTTACATCTTAAGAGAAGGGCTAAGGTATAATGCGATGAAGAGATACATCAACTTACATTGTTCACATGTCCCAGAACCAGATCTATTCTATCACGATGAAGGCTACTACATAATCAGCTTCAAAACTATGGAAGATGCTCATGAAATTCTATGTGCTGGACCTTATTCCATAGCTAATAGACCTATAATTCTGAAGCCGTGGACCCCTGATTTTGATTTTACTGAGGAATTTCCTACTGTTATCCCACTATGGGTTAAATTTCCCAAGCTTCCTATGTCTTGTTGGGGAACGAGATCATTGAGCAGGATAGCCAGTATGTTCGGGAAACCTATTTTTGCTAATGAGTGCACAACCAAGCAAACTAGAGTCTCCTATACTCGAATGCTTATTGAGATTAATGTTACCAAAGAGCTGCCAAGTGAAGTGTGGGTGATGGATCCAAGTGGGAAGAAATTCTTGCAAAGTGTTACTTATGATTGGAACCTACTTATTGTGAGAAGTGTCAAGTAGTAGGACACAAGTGCTCAAGCCAAGTGAGACCTGTTACACAACAACCTAACCAAGTGAAGAAAACTAAAATTACACAGGAATGGAGAATCAAGGCCCCAGTACCCGCAGCACCTGTTCAAAGAGAAACAGCCCCAGCTGAATCACAACAAGTTACTGTTAATAAGGTAACTGATGTTCAGAGTTCTAAGGAAAGCTGTGACCTACCAAGTATGGTTCCAAATGTTGAAAGGCAGGAAGATAAAGGAAAAATATTCCAAAGCCCAGAACTGAACCTCATTAATTTTCCTCCCATGTCCCCCATTCCTGTGAGAAATAGATTTGAAGCAGTGTCCAATAGTAAATATGAAGTGCTACCTAGGAATAGAGGTGGAACAAGCAATCAACAATGAAGTGGTTATTCTGGAATATTAGAGGTATAAATAAAAGGTATAAATAGAAGGAAGTTAGGGAGTATATTAGATGCAATAAAATAAAGTTAGTAGGATTAGTGGAAACTAAGGTAAAAAAATATAATGCTCAAAGAATTTCAAAATTTCTTGTTCCTGGATAGGGTATGCTAGCTAATTATAATGAAGCTAGAAATGGTAGGATATGGATACTATGTGATGCTAATCATCTTATTGTTACTGGACTTAATGATGATCCTCAAATGATTCATTGTCTAGTAAGAAGTATAAGGGGGGATATAGATTGCTATCTCACTGTTGTTTATGGTTTCAATGGAATAGAGCAAATAAGATCACTATGGGAGAATTTGCAACAAATTTCAACAAGTATCACAAGTCCATGATTAGTTGCAGGGGATTTTAATGCAGTTTTATATCCTAATGACAGAATATCTTGTAATCCAGTTAGTTACTCAGAGATTCAAGAATTTGGCTATTGTCTTCAGCAAGCAGGACTAACAAAATTTCCTTAGAAAGGAGAGTACTATACTTGGACAAATAAACAACCTGGAGCTGATAGGGTATGTAGCAAGTTAGACAGAGTTTTTGGCAACTATGAGTGGATGATGACTTGGAGTCATGTGAAGACAATATATGATCTACCTCAAATTTCTGATCATAATCCTATGGTATTGACTCTAGTAGCTTCTTCTTGGAAAGGAAGGGTCCCTTTTAGGTTCTTTAATGTATGGGCTACTCGTGAAGATTTCCATCAGATTGTGGCATCTATCTGGAACTCTTAAAATAATTTTGGTTCTCTGAAAACAATATGGACTAAGCTTAAAGCATTGAAAGCTCCTCTAAACGCTTTGAAATGCTAAGGATTTCAAGGACATTACTCAGAGGATTGAAAAGGCTAGATTGGAACTGAAAGAAATACAAGAGCAGCTTGCAAGTATCTATTCTGATGGCTTACTACATAAGAAGAAAGAGACATTACTCAACCTTGAAAAGTGGTCTCTAATTGAAAAAAGTGTGTTGCAGCAAAAAGCAAGAGCAAAATGGATTCAACTAGGTGATTCCAACACCAAGTATTTCACTGCAGTTATGAAAGAAAGATCACAAAGAAAACAAATTACAGAAATTACAAATGGTCTAGGAGATAGGGTAACTGATCCTGCAGCTATTAAAAGGGAGATCCTGGGATTCTACAAGGCACTCATGGGCTCAACAGCTAAATCACTTCCTGCCATAAATAAATTATATATGTATAATGGTCCTATTCTATCTTAACATAAAAAATGGAACTATGTGCAAAAGTAACTGATCAAGAAATTCTGGAGAGTCTTAAAGCCATTGGAGATGATAAAGCTCCAGGGATTGATGGTTATAATGCTGTTTTTTCAAGAAGTCCTGGAGTATCATCAACAACCAAGTCAAAGAAGCTATTAAAGAGTTCTTTTTAACTGCCAAGATGTATAAACCAGTGAATTGTTCCACCACTACTCTAGTACCTAAAGTTTCTAAGCCCACCACAGTCAAGGAATACAGACCAATTGCTTGTTGTTCAGTGCTGTATAAAATGATATCCAAAATCTTAGCTGCCAGACTACAAAAGGTCATGCCAAGTATAATATGTGAAGCCCAAGCTGGTTTTGTTCTTGGCAGAAAGATAGCTGATAATGTAATCCTGGCTCATGAGTTAGTCAAATCCTATACTAGAGCCCATATATCTCCTAGATACATGATTAAAATTGATCTCCAGAAAGCATATGACTTAGTGGAATGGATTTTTCTACAACAAGTGATGGAGGAGATTGGCTTCCCTGCCAGATTCATTAAATGGATTATGGAGTGTATTAAAACAGTTAGTTATACTGTTCTTGTAAATGGAGAATCTACTGAACCTTTTGAGGCTGCTAAGGGACTCAGACAAGGATATCCTATCTCTCCTTTCTTATTTGCAATTGTAATGGAATATTTGAGTAGATCACTTGTTGAGCTGGGAAAAGAGGCCAAATTCCAATACCATCCCAGGTGCAAAAAATTGGGCATAACTCGCATGAGCTTTGCTGATGACCTCCTTCTATTTGCAAGAGGAGACCTACCTTCCATTGTTGCTATGTAACAGTATTTCTATCAGTTCACGGACGCCTCAAGACTACAAGCTAACCTAGGTAAAAGCTCAGTTTACTTTGGTGAAGTGAAGCAGAAAGTGAAGAAATAGATTCTAGATCATCTTGGATTTGTACAAAGAGAGCTGCCATTTAAATACTTAGGCATTCCTTTATCCACTAAGAAAATTGCTTTGATCCAATGTCAACCTTTAATTGATAGAATCACAGCCAAGATCTCCTCATGGACTGCTAAGAAGCTATCATATGCTGGTCGAGTGCAACTAGTTCAATCTATTATTTTTGGCATCCAAGCCTACTGGGCTCAGTTGTTTATCCTTCCAGTTAAAGTGATGAAGATGATTGAGGCTTTATGTAGAAGCTATATATGGTCTGGTAGCAACACTATCACTAAGAAAGCATATGTGTCTTGAGAGAATGTGTACTCCTAAATTTACTGGTGGTCTGAACCTCATCAACCTTCTTCTATGGAACAAGACAGCAATTGCAAAAGTGTGCTGGGATTTAGCTCATAAAGAAGACAAACTATGGATAAGATGGATTAATGCCTACTATGTTAAACAAGAACAACAACTGAAGGACATGCCAATTCCAAAGCAGGCTAGTTGGATGGTCAAGAGGATAATTGCTTCAAGAGATATTCTGCAACAAGCTCAAAGTTCAAATGATCATATTGGCACCATCAGACAGCTATACTTACAACTATTAGGAGATCTACCAAGAGTAAGTTGGAAGAATCTGCTATTCCAGAACTCTGCTCGTCCAAAGGCTATCTTCAACTTATGGTTACTGCTACAAGGAAGATTACCTACCAAGGACAAGTTAGTTAAATGGGGATTGAACATTAACCAACAATGTGTTCTATGCCAAGGACATGTGGAGACAAGAGATCATCTCTTTTTGTTATGCTCATATACAGTAATGTTGTGGAAACAAGTAATGAGGTGAATTCAAGAAGATCAATCGAATAATCACAACTGGGATCAACATCTTCAATGGATCATCAACAAAGCCAAAGGGAAGTCAAGTAGGGCCAACATTTTCAGATTGGTGGTTACTGAAGCTTCATATGCATTATGGATGGAAAGGAATATACGTATTTTTGAACAGAGATATCGTAGCAGTGAAGTTTTATCACGAGAAATAGCTTATATATGTAATGTTAGAGTAGTTCCTAGAGCTAGAAAACAAATGCAGCAATTTTTGATAGTAGAATAGCTTAGTATAGCTATTTTGTAATCCAGTAGATTAGTTGATGATGAGATAGTCAGCAGAGTTTTATGCTAGACTATTTGTAAAGACTGATCTTTGATGATTAATACAAAAGAAGTTAGTTACCAAAAAAATAAGAAAAATGGGAGATGTATAAAAGAAAAGGGCAATGTACCCTCAAACCCATAACAGCCACTCATTCATCAAATCGATTCAGGAACGTTCCTGAGAGCCTCATTCTCGACAGCAGAGCACAGAATGTCAAACTGTGGCACCAGATCCTCTGTGTCCCCCAGGAGATTAACATCCGAAGAAATTTCATGAATACGGGCCTACCCTCCTGCACGAACCACCGAGTGGGTAATACCCTCCTCAAACATCCTAACATTATCAGGATCGAGGTCCGACTCAGATTCATAATCGTCGACCACAACGCCCTTTCCTCTTTCGACAGCTGAGGACGAAGCACGACCAGGTACGGAGGATGAGGGTACGTCTGAAACTACAACAGCAACCTCAGACATCTGGCCCTCCATCATGACAGGTTGCTGATCATCAACAGCAGCAGGAATTTTCGTCGACAGGGCAGATACGACAACTATCTTCATCTCTACGGGCAGAGCGGTATCAACCACCGCCCCAGATTCTGTCAAGGGAGAGTCGTCCAAGTGAATTACAGTTAGAGGGGCTGCCTCGAATTCCACTCGTCGCCTCTTAGACGACCCTTCTTCTTTCTTAGCGCGGGGAGACTCGCCCGTCTGACGAGCAACATGAGTCGGAACTTCAGTCTGAGAAGTGGCCTCCGCAAGAATAACCATAGTTGCCGACTCGACCTAAGTAGCCCTCGACAAAGGCCGAACGGCAGGTGCTTCAATAGGGCGAGTGGAAAATGCCGACTGACGAAAAGCCAATGGAGGAGCCCTCGCTCTCCGCATTCTCCCTGGCATCGACAAACAGCATATAAGAAACTAAGTAAAAAGAGAGGAAAAGTAACAAACAGAAACACATCTCCCACGAAGGGGCCTGCGTCCAAATTTTTCATAAAAGGCCGACCAGGTGCGAACCCCCGCCGTATGAGGAAGGATGGTACTCATCCACTTGCAGATACCTTCGACAGATGGAAGAGGCAAATTTTCGGCTGCAGAGACATAACAGGGTTTAGTACTGTAACGAAAAATGGTCGAATATATCTCCGACTAAAAGCATAAGAAACTTACATGCAAAGTTCCATTTCTCAGGGAACCCCATCGGATCCACCACAATGTACTCAGTCCGTATATAGAAATAATTCTCATAGAAATGATGGTTAGCCCTGTCGTCCATTTTCACCACCAGACTCTTCGACCCCCGAGTACGCATGTGAAACATCGTGCCACGGATAAGCTGAGGGGCAAAGATATTGAGCATGTAATCCAAGGTAATCTCACGACCGGCGAGCTTCGCAAACTTGAGCAACATAAGGAACAACTTGTACAGGTACAACAAAAGTTGGGGGCATACCTTATAAAAACGGCAGAAGTCTACCACCAGGAGAGGGAGAGGAAGTGTGTATCCAATAAGAAAGGGGTACACGTAAAATACACAGTACCCAGGACGGTCAAAATGAACTATGCCATTTCCTACCTCCGGTCGCATGTCGACGTAACCGGGGATCCCCCTCCTGGCTTTCAACTCTGCAATGTCTTCTTCTCTCATAACAGAAGGGATAGGCTCCGGCTCTACCCCGACACGACTGCTGAAGTCGGGCAGTTCTCTCCCAGGGTGAGGCAAAATCTCAACTACCGATGGGACCTCCTCATCTTCCACCGCATCTGCCCCTCCAATGGCCTGAGCAACACTTTTCGGTGCCGGAATTGTGACAGGGAGATCGGTGCGAGAGAAATCACTAGACATTTTATCTAGATGATGCGGCAAAAATACAACGGAAAGGAAGGATGAAAAATTTCAGTTAACTGAGAGCAAACGGAACTTGGAGTGTCAGGAGGAAAGTATATCTGCAGAATTCTTTCGAGTAAAAGGCAAAGAAGTGTGTCAATCGAGTGATGAGTTCCTTCTATTTATAAGAGACATAAATCCCCCAAGCACGAACCCCAAGAGTCACTAATCGAATTTGATAGGGCACGAAATGTTTCAGTTCCCCAAGAACGTGTGTCATAATGACGGTAACCACGAAATAACGCTTTGATACCAAACGACGTTTCGGTTCCGAAACAGCCTCAACGGTCCAAGGATATCGAAAGAACGCCGCCATCTCACTTAAAACCAAAGTAACATAACTAAGGAACGAGGAGTCAGATTTCACTTGAATTCGTAGTAATCATGATCCGTCTGCCAAGCCCGACAGGGAACGACACCAACAGACGGAGGGACTAACTGTATTGGTTAAAATCTGACCGTCATGGTCGAGCTGACCAACGTCCCGCCCAAGTGACAGGGTAGTAAAAGACACATGGCCCACTCTGCATCCCATTCTCGACACCCATCGAGTCAGAAGGAGAAATGTCTAAAGGACGACCAAGGCACACTTGGTGCGAGAGAGCGTCGGACCAAGTAAATGGCAAGGGTGTCTTGGCTATATATAGTAGGGAAAAACCCTCGATGGGGGGGAGGGGGAAGGGGGCTTTTTCCTTCCCATTCTCTCCCCTAAGTTCTCTTCTTGTAATCATCATAGAAAAGAAGTAATCTGCAGAAAAACATGTAAAACTACCTCTCCCATTGATTGATGGGAGCCACATGAAGAATTTCANAGTAATCTACGGAAAAATATGTAAAACTACGTCTCCCATCGATTGATGGGAGCCACAATGAAAAATTTCAATAAGATCGATTATATCTACTTTGTCTTATTTACTATCTATTCTGTTAGCTTATTGATCTGAAATTTATTATGTTTGACTAAGATTTACCCTTTCATCTTCTTTGATTGATTTATTCAAAAAGGTTCCGATATCTTTTGAGTCAAACACTTACCTTATTAATATGAAATAGAAAAGAACAAAAAACTTTTTTTTTATTTATAAATGTTGAGGTGATAAGGCATAGTTTGATTACTTGCTATTTGTCCGCTATATATCATATTCTTGTGCTACTTGCTTTTAAAAGTGGTAAATAAAAAATATTTTAAATGGTATACTGGGTCAGAGCTAAATACAGTAGGGAGATTCACTTGAAATTATTTGGCTAAAAAATTGTATTGAGCAAATACAGCAAAAACGAATTGTTTTGATCATACATAAGCCATTAAATTTCTTTGACCTAAGGGAAGATTCTAGAATAATATAAATGCCTTATAGAATAATATAAATGCCCTGTCAATTTAATAGGCTTAATGTATCTGCAAAAAAAAAAAAGAATTCATTTACTACTGAAAATTAGTCAATTGTTCTAACAGAAAAAAAATTAAAGAGTGGCCTAAGGGCATCTCCAATGCCAAATTTAGTGTAAAATTTGATATTTTTTTGCTCCAATGGAATACCAAATCTTGCACCATTATAGTGCATGAATAGTGTTGCACCAAATTTGGTGCAGCACTATTCATCACACCAAATTTAATTTATTATTATTTTATTCATCTTTTTATTTTTTTGAACTTTTAATTTATCATATATTGTATATATAATTAATTTTTATATTAAGATCTTTATAATTTTAATTTTATATCCTATTTTTTTGATATATTAATTTTTGTATATATATATATATACTATATTTATATAAAATTATAAGTTAATTTTATTATTATTATAATTGTATAAAAAGAAATATAACCATTATTTAAAAACAAAAAATGCAAATGTAAGAGCTAATGTTGCTAAAATTGAAAAGTGAAAACTAAAATTTAAAAAAGAAAATTAACAATACATAAAATAAATAGACATTATAATTAAAGTACATCAAAGGAGGATACATTAAAATTGAAATTACATTTAAAAACATAAAACACAAGTTTAGTAAACCCCTATGTCATTTCCAGGTGCACCAAAATTATCAAAATACTAAGAGAACGGGGTAGAAGATTGTTGTGCTTGTGGTTGTTGAAATTATTGATTTCTTTTATCGATTATTCGTTTTTGTTCTTGTCGCAAAAATTCACGAAGATTTGGATCGTCAATGGAATTCAAGTTCGTCAATAAAATTTTATTTTCTTCTTTGTATTCTTTTTGTCTCGAAGCTTCATTTCTCGATTATTTTTCGGGATCCACGCTTTAATGAGGGTATGTTTCGTCGTCGATTTTGAATGTCACGAAATTTATTCCTTCGAATTGTTGATGAAATTAAAGGTCATGATATGTACTTCGAACAACGCGCTGATGCGGTGGGAAGATTTGGGTTATCCACTGTACAAAAAATTATAGTCGTGTTTAGAATGTTGGCATATGGTTTGCCAGCAGATGCCACTGATGAATATGTCAAAATTGGAGAGTCAATTGCAATTGAGAGCATGAAGAGATTTTGTCGAGCTGTCGTAGAGGTTTTTGGCGATCAGTATTTGAGATCAACAACAACTAACGGTGTTGCAAGTTTTCTGTACATCGATGAACAACGTGGTTTTCCAGGAATGCCAGCAGTTTAGATTGCATGCATTGGAAATGAAAAAATTGTCCAACAGCATGAGCTGGACAATATGCAGGTCGTAGTGGATCCCCAACAATTATTCTTGAAGCAGTAGCTGATTACGACCTTTGGATATGGCATGCATATTTTGGTATGCCCGGCACCAACAATGACATTAATGTTTTAGAATCATCACATTTATTCTCCAATCTCGCTAATGGTATTGCTCCTCCAGCGCGTTATGTTATTCAAGGAAAAGAATATGACATCGGTTATTATTTAGCTGACGGTATATATCCAAAATGGTCTATTATTGTGGAAACTATTCGGGAGCCACGTTCATCAAAGAAGAGATATTTTGCAATGAAACAAGAATCATGTCGAAAAGATATTGAACGTGCATTCGGAGTTTTGCAATCTTGTTTTGCAATTGTTGCAGGTCCGTCACGTTTTTTGGAGAAAAGAGGTGCTACGTGATATAATAACCACATGTATTATACTGCACAACATGATAATTGAGGACGGGCGTGATTTTAATGCACCAATTGAAGATGCACGTGAATGTCCAGCTCCTACGGTAGAAATGACAGTAGATGAAAATCACCGATTTGAATAATTTTTAGCTCGACATAAAAAAATTAAGGATAAAGATGCACATTTCGCACTTTGTAATGCATTAATCGAGCCTTTATGGGAGAATAGAGGCGAAAGTTGAATATTTATGTGGTACTTAAATTAAATTTGACTATGATGTAATATTTATTTAATTATCTTTTATCAATAATTTCATTTTTAGTTGATTTATCCTTTAAAATAATTTGTAATAAATGATTATATAAGTGGTGAATGTGAATTATATATAATGAATATGTAAAAAAGAAAAAAGATAGTATTTGTTTGAAGGAAATAAAAAATGAAATTTAAATAGATGATAATAATATAATATAGAAGAGAGAGAAGAAATATTATTTTTTGGTATAAACAATGGTGTAATGGTTGAAATAAATTTGGTGTTACACTATTTTGGTGTGAAATTTGGTGTTAGGGTTGGAGATGACCTAAACAAAAATATAGGCTACAAATAATCCACCAACGACCTGAGATTAGATGTGGAATTCTTTGGTAGGTGCCAGGTGGATCGGTGGACTCGTCCGCTAGAAGTAATTTCAAGGGGTAGCTGCACAACACCATTTAAAGCACAAATAATTTTTAATTTTTTTCCGCATCTGTAGCGAATTAAGAACTTCTATCATTATTATTGCAAGATTGAAAGCTCTTGAATTTTGATATGAAAAGGTGAGTTCAAATCAAGTGGATATTGTTTGATCAAAAGATGTCAAAATATTTTTGATTAAAATAACTAATGATAATGATGAGGTCAATCTTAGTCAAGCATAATAAACCCTAGATCTGAAAATGAATCGGAAAATAATGAGTAAAAATAAAATAAGAGTGATCAATCTTTATTGCTATTTGTCATTTCTTCTTTTACGAGACAGAAAGGATGATCAATTTTGCATCCTTTTTGGCAAGAAATTGAAGGAGAGCAAAAAGAGAAAAAAGCCCCTCTCTCTTTGAGAGTCCCCCTATATATAGTTCTGGGACCCTTGCAATCTTCTTTGGCCGATGTGCCTTCACGTTGTGACTTCTTTTTTTTCGTTATTTGAATATTATTTTTAACTTAATGTACACTGTAGGTGCTTAGACCGAAGTAGGTCGTGATGTCTCTCGCTATCCCGCCACTTAGGTGGAATCTCAGCTGGGTCGGCTACTTTGGTCAGATTTTGACCTATACAGTTAGTCTATCCGTCCGTCAGGGTCATCTGTTGGTGGGCCCGACAAACGGATTATGATTTTGAACACTTAGGAGAAATCTGACTATTCGTGCCTTGGGCATAGTTTTTAGATCGAGACAATGGGACGGCGCTGTAATGATGTCTTTGGACCGCTGGGACCGTTCAGAACCGAAGCATTGTTCGATTTGAATCGTCGTTCGTGGCTACTGCCATTATGGCACACGTTTCCTGGGGATTGAACCGTTTCATGTCCTTATCAGTTTCGATTGGTGACTCTTGGGTTTCCCGCTTGGGGAATTTATGTCCCTATAAATAGAGAAAAAACACCATTCGATTGGCACACTTTCTTGCCTTTGTTGAAAGAGTTTTCTAGATCTTCCTCTTTTCCGATACTTTCAGATTTTCGATTCTCTTCGGTTAGCCGGAAATTTTCGTCCCAGTCACTTCTTTTTTCTTAAGCCATTTGTTCTATTAAATCGATATAAATGGCTGGTAGTTCTTCCCGTGCTGACAATCCTGCCGCAATTTCGGCGTCGGAAAGTGATGTTCCTGCTCCCGGAGGAGTGGAAGTGATAGAGGATGAGGGGGTTCCGACGGCGGCCGAAATATTGCCTCACCTTGGAAAGTCGTGGAACGATTTCCACAGTCCTGTCGGAGAAGAGTCGGAGCCTGCTCCCTCTGTTATGACTGAGGCGGGGATTGCGGAGCTAAAGGCCAAATGGAGAATCCCTTACCACGTTGAAATGCTACCGGCGGTGGGAGATGATATTGTACATTTCGATCGTCCGGGATATTGTGTGTTCTACGCCTATCCCTTTATCGTCGGGTATACGCTTCCTCTCCCCCTCTTGGTGGTAGATTTCTGTTATTTTTATGAGGTGTGTCCAGCTCAACTTTCACCGTACTTGTATAAATTGTTCCTTATGCTGCTCAAGTTCGCAGAGCTTGCTGGTCAGGAGGTCATTCTGAGACACATGCTCAATATCTTTGCCCCTCAACTCATCCGAGGCACGATGATCCATATGCGCCATCGAGGGACGAAGAGTCTGGTAGTGAAGATGGACGACAGGGCCAACCGTCACTTTTATGAAAACAATTTTTATGTACAGACCGAGCACCTTGTGGCGGATCCTGTAGGATTCTCTGAGAGATGGAACTTCGCACGTAAGTTTTTGTATCTTTGGTTGGAATGATAGTTGACCGCTTTTCTTTGGGCAGTATTGAACTATTTTTACTTTTGCAGCCGCGAGATTACCTCCTGTGCCTGTTGATCATATCCGCGAATGGGTGAACGCAATTCTTCCTCATACGGCAGGAGTTCACGAATGGTCGTCCTTCTATGAGAAATAAGGACGTAAGCCCCTTACTGGTAAGTAGTTTTACTGCAGAGTCTGTTTTCCACTTTGCAATTTGATTTTGTTGCTTATATGACATTTATCATTAGCAGGGAGAGTGCGAAGGGCGAGGGATCCTCCACTTACATTTCGTCAGCCGACACCCTCTGCTCGGCCCATACCGAGGCCTGCTACCCGACCTATGGCGAGGGCTGCTCAAGTTGAATCTACAACCGTAGCCGTATGGACGGAAACTAATCCTCAATCTGGGGTTCCGAGTTCTATTATCTACCTAATGGGGGAGTCTTCACGTGCTGAGGATGGTGAGGGGCTGTCAAAGAGACGACGAGTGGAGTCCGAAATGGCTCCCGTCATCCGTGGTATGTTTAGAAGACGACATCTCCTTGATGGAGTCTGAGACGGGAAACGATGTTAACCTATCTGCAGAGGTAGAGCCGGTCACCGTGACCAACCTGTCGACAGAGACTCTGATCGTTATAGGTGACCAACAGACTACTACGATGGGGAGTCAGAGTCCCGAGGTCGCTGTTGTTACTTTGGGCGGGCCTTCATCATCTGGATCGGGTCATGCTTCTTCTTCGGCCGCAGAGAGGGGAAAAGGAGTCGTGGTCGATGACTACGAATCTGAGTCTGATCTTGATCCTGATGATGTCAGGATGTTTGAAGAGGGCCTTACTCGTACGGTGGTACATGCGGGAGGCCCATCCCGTATACTTGAAATCTCGTCGGATATTAACCTCCTGGAGGATACAGAGGACCTGGTACCGCAATTTGACCTTTTGTGTTCTACCACCGAGAGCGAGGCTCTCAGGGACGTCCGCGATGTTAGTTTGATGCATGAAGTGGCCGCTATGGTCTTGAGGGTAAGTTTCTCATTTCTTTAATGTTCTTTTCATCTTTGGCGATCCTGGCCTTAACCCATCTTTTCATTTTTCAAATGTACATGGTGGAGATTGAGAGTGCTCATAGGGCCGACACTCAGGCCAAGATTTTCCTGACGATGTTGGAGAAGTATCGGTGCTACCGCAACAAGTGTCGTGAGATGCACGAGCGGATAAGGGCAAATGCCGGTGATCGATCCCTTGGTGAGGAACTGGAGAAGAAGGATCAAGAGTTGATGCAGGCTATTCGCAGGATTAGCGAGCTCTAGGAGCAACTTCGTGCAAGGGAGGAAGAACTTGAGTTGGGTAAAGTGGTTGCCGCAGAGTGTGAGCATCTTCAGGCGAAGGTGCGGTCGATGTAGTCCGAGATGGATCAGAATGCCATTAGGGTCGAGACGATGAGTGCGGAATAGGTGAGAAAGTTAGCCGAATTAGAGAGAAAGGTTTCTGGGTTGGAGAATATCGAGAGTGCTTGGGCGTCAGCTTCAGCTGAGGGAGGCAGCTTTAGAGGACACTATCCGCGTCCTTCAATCCGAGCAGGAATCTGAGAGGGCGACGACGACGCTTAGGGAGGCGAGGCTCGAAGAGCGTATTAGTGAAATCGATCGGGAAGCTTCTACTTTGGGGACCGGGTCACTACTCTTGAGGTCGAGAATGCGCAATTGTTGGCTCAAGTCGAATCTGCCTCCACCGCTATTCCCCGTCACCTACATGAGTTCTGGGTACATGCCGAAGCCCAGCAGAACATATATAAGGGTTTGTGGGAAGCGGGTATTGTTACTGAGGCCGCATATGAAGGAGCGCGGGTGAAGGCACGAGAGGCTCGTGTTAACTGTGGATATGATCATGCGACGCCGGAAGTCGACAAGGATGTTGGTACTGAAGAGAGACTTCCTGAAGATGGTGATGAGGAGGGTGGCGGTGATGATACCGAGTGAAAGAATTGTTCGTCTTTGTTTGTGTTGTTCTTTTGTCTTTGCATTGTTATATTTTCCTTTGGACTTGCTCGGTTTCAGCCGTGCGTAATTTGTGACTATTTGCGCAACTGCTTTAAATAAAAAGAAGTTTTCATCGGTATATGTCTCTTGCACTTCTCTTCCTTTTGCTTTACATAATCTGACATGGAATTTCGGCTTTCCATATGGTGAATTCCTGATTTTCAGGGAATTTAATCTCAGCCGGACTGAGTAGGACTTCGTCGTATGAGTCCGGATGGAGTCTTGTTTGATCTGCCTATTTGGGCGAGGTCAACAGGTGACTTATTGCTTTAAGAAGACTCATTCTTGATTCTAAACGAGATTATTTTAACGTATTCGTTATTTTGGACGAAGGCAGTCATGACTTGGGTCGTCCGGGTGGGACCAAACTATCATTGGTTTGGGCAGAATCACTTTTGTTTTTGGCGATGGACATTGGCCGTAGGGGTGATATTTCGAACTTTCGTC